CACTATTGCAAGGAATTTTACACTTTGTAGGTTCGAGTAAAATACTCCAAAGACCACTACAACACATACCCTCTTTTGATATTCCCACCTCACTATAATATCGCTCACTCTCTATTTTTCTCACAGACTATTTTCTTATACCTTGTATGTGAAGCTTCACTCTTTCTTTCTCTCTTTGTTGGTGTGTAGAAATGTGAGCTAAAGCTCTCCTTTTATAGTCGAAGCCTCACTCTCTAAAGCCTACTATATTTGACAATTTGCACACACTTTTCCTTCTTTTTCTTCAATGTTGACAATTCAACAGAGTTGGCTACAAAACAAAATAAATTCAACAAAGTTGGCTATCAAACCAAAGAAATTCAACAAAGTTGGCTACTAAACCAAAGAAATTCTCAGCCAAATATTTTCCTTAGGCACATGCCTATTACTTTGGCTTTTGAATGAGATGGACCTCATCAATCTCCCCCTCCAGTCTCGTTTATCAAGAGGAGGTAGCACTGTCTTCTAGTTTGAGTGCATGCCGACAAGTTCTTTGCATAGCTCTAACTTGTGTGAATTTTGTTCAACATATCAGTAGGATTTTCACTCATGTGAATCTTTTTGACCTGTAAAGATTCGTTCTCCTCCTACTCACAAATCCAATGATATCTCACATCTATATGCTTTGTTCTTGCATGGTACATGGAGTTCTTGCTCAAGTCTATTGCACTTTTTACTGTCACAATAGAAGACATACTCTTTTTTATGCAATTCCAGCTCTTGAAGAAACCGTTTGAGCCATACCATCTCTTTGCTAGCTTATGTAGCGGCAATGTACTCTGCTTCAGTTGTTGAAAGTGCAACACACTTCTGCAATTTAGACTGACATTATATAGCTCCCCCCTGAAAAAGTAAATAGATATCCAGTAGTGGATTTTATCAGTATCACCGGCCATATCAGCATCCGTGCATCCCTTCAAGATTGGATCAGATCCTCCAAAATACAAGTAATCTCCTATAGTACCTTTTAGGTACCTGAGTATCCACTACTTCTTTCCAATGTTCCTTTCTGGGATTTTCACGGAATTTGCTAACAACACCAACTGCATGAGCAATATCAGGTCTAGTGCATACCATTGCATATATCAAACTTCCGACTGTTGAAGAATAAAGAACTCTATCCATGTTCCCTTTCTCCTCCATTGTTGTAGGACACATCTTCTTGCTCAACATTAGATGACTAGTAATAGGTGTGCTGACTGGCTTAGCATTCTTCATGTTGAAGCGTGCTGGTACACGTTCAATGTACTTCTCCTGGGACAGCCACAACTTTCTGCTTGTTCGCTCTCGAACTATCTTCATACCAAGAATTTGTTGTGCTGGGCCCAAGTCCTTCATATCAAATGACTTGGACAAATCTCCCTTCAACTTTGCGATCAACCCCTTGTCTTTTCCTATAATTAACATGTCATCCACATACGAAAACAATATAATAAAGTTATTCTCAGAAAATCTTTTGAAGTATACACATGGATCAGAATAGGTCTTTATGTATGTTTGACTTTTCATGAATGAGTCAAACTTCATGTACCACTGTCTTGGTGCCTGCTTCAATCCATAAAGACTCTTATTCAATTTGCACACCATGTGTTTCTTTCCAGCTACTTCAAATCCTTCTGGCTGCTCCATATAAATCTCCTCTTCCAAATCTCCATGAAGAAATGCAATTTTCACATCCAATTGCTCCACTTCAAGATCTAGGCTAGCTACTAAGCTCAAAATTGTTCAAATAGAAGTCATTTTGACAACATGTGAGAAAAGTTTGTCAAAATCAATACCTTTCTTCTGTTTAAAGCCTTTTACCACCAATCGAGCTTTGTATCTGACCAACTTGCCATTTCCATCTTTCTTGAGTTTAAAGACCCATTTGCATTTGAGTGGTCTTTTTCCCTTTGGAAGTTCAACCAGCTTGTACGTGCCATTTTCTATAGAGATTCTGTCTCCTCTTGCATGACTTTCATCCACTAGTTCTTTTCTGAATAAGACAACACCTCCTTAAGACTATCTGGCTCCACTTCATCACTGATAAGGACATACTCTGCGGAAGGGTACCTGCATGACTCTACCTTTGGCCTCTCTAATCTTCTTAAAGGTTGAGGTTGTTCTTCTTCCTGAGTGGGGTACTCCACTTGCTCTACATCATCATCAAGTTGCTCCCCCTGCTCAATAACCTCACCGGGTTGCTCCCCCTACTCGACAACCTCGTTGGTCGTGCTTTCTGCACTTGTGGGATTGTTAGAAGTAGAAAGAATAGTAACAAGGTTTGGAATTTTACCATTCTTGGCCTTCTCTGGCATATCATCAGCAGTTCCAACTTCACTTTCTTGGAAGACTACATCTCTGTTTCTAATGACCTTTTTCTTTACAAGATCCCACAATCTGTATCCGAACTCTTCAGCTCCATATCCGATGAATATGCAGGGAATAGATTTATCATCCATCTTTGTTCTCTGCTCCTTTGGTACATGTGCAAAAGCTCTACATTCGAACACCTTCAGATGCGAGTAGGACACCTCCTTGTTTGTCCAAACTCTCTCTGGGATGTCAAAGGCCAACAGAACTTATGGACTCATATTGATCAGGTAATAGGCTGTATGAACTGCTTCACCCTAGAATGACTTAGGCAGTTTAGCCATTCTGAGCATGCTTCTCGCCTTTTCCACAATGGTGCGGTTCATCCTTTTGGCTACGACATTATGTTGTGGGGTTCCAGGAACTGTCTTTTCATGTCTTATCCCATGGCTCGAACAGTACTCTTCAAATTCCCTTGAAGTGTACTCACCTCAATTGTCACTTCGGAGACGCTTTAGATTTTGGCCAGTCTCCCTTTCCACCAGAGCATGAAACTTCTGGAAAACTTGAAACACCTGATCTTTGGTTTTCAAAATATAAACCCATAATTTTCGTGAAGCATCATCAATAAAAGTAACAAAATATTTGTTACCGCCCATTGATTCAATTTCCATTGGGCCACAAACATCAGAATATACTAAATCAAGTATATTCAATTTTCTTTCAGACGATGTCTGAAATGAGACTCTATGCTGCTTACCAAATAAACAGTAGTCACAAGGTTTTACCGTTGTACCTTTGGCATAAGAAATGAGTGATTTCCTGGCAAGAATCTGCAATCCCTTTTCGCTCATATGACCCATCCTTTTGTTCCATAATTCTACAGAAATCTCATCTTGTGCCGCGTTCAATTCACCTTAGCATATTTCTGCATTTGTCTTATACATCGTGCCACGAGCAACTCCCTTTGCAATCACCAATGATCCCTTGGTGAGTCTCCAATTTTTATTTGCAAAATATTTCTCATATCCATCTCGGTCTAAAGCAATTCCCAAGATCAAGTTCATCCGCAAATCATGTACATGTCGTACATCCTTTAGAACCAATGTGCATCTGACATTTATCTTGATACAAATGTCACCAATACCCCGAATCTTTGAGCAACTCGTGTTACCCATTCTCATAGTGCCGAAATCACCTACTATATATCTGAAAAAAGATTTCTTACCGGTGTGGCATGGTAAGATGCTGCTGTATCAACCACCCATTCTGACTCTGGACCTGATAAGTGCATGCATTCCTCTTCCTCGTTTATAAAGAGGACAGCATTATCATTGTTTGACACCATGGCGGTTATGTTATCGATATTCTTCTGTCCACTAGTTTCACCTTTGCCCTTCGTTAGATTTGGTCAATCTTTTTTGAAGTGACCCAGTTGATCACAATTGTAGCAATTTTGGGCTCTTGATTTGGATCGATTCTTAGACTTCCCACAAGCTCGGGATCTACCATAGTTGCTCGAACTCCTTTAATAACTCCTGCCTCTGCCTTCTACGATTAGATCCTGTCTTTGATTTTCAGGCTTCTTTCTCATCTTCTCATTGAGTAGAAGAGCCGATGTGACATCTTTCAACTCAATGGTAGTCTTACCGTGCAGGATGGTTGTTGCCAGATTATCGTACGAAGATGGCAACGAGTTCAACAGCAAGATGGCTCTATCTTCTTCCTCGATTTTTACTCCGAGATTGGCGAGCTATGTGATTAGTCCGTTAAACATATTTAAATGTGACAAAAATTTGTACCTTCACCCATGTGTAGGGTGTATAGTTTCTTCTTCATGTACAATTTATTTGTTAGCATTTTGGACATGTATAGACTTTCCGACCTTGTCCAAATGCCACATTCAGTGTCTTCATCAATGATGTTATTTAGTACATCATCTGATAAGTTCAACCTGATTGTACTAGTAGCCCTTTCATCCAAGTCAGCCCAATCCTCAGCTTTCATGGTATCAGGCTTCTTGGCATTAGCATCTAGTACCTTGTGTAATCCTTGTTGGATGAGCAGATCCCTCATCCTTCTTTGCCATGTTGAGAAACCGCTATCTCCATTAAATTTTGCTATCTCGTACTTTACTCCGGACATTTTTGTTTTTCACCGAGTATAGTACTATCGACAGTGAATAATATTTCTCTGAACGAGCAGAACCTGTGCTCTGATACCCGTTATTGGGAATAAACCCCCTACAGAAATAATATTCAAAATAATAAAAGCGGAATAATAACGTAGCACCGAGATACGATAATTAACAAGAATAAAAGAGTGACAACGACACCAAGATTTTTACGTGGAAAACCTTTTGAATAAGGGAAAAAACCACGACCCCGAGACGAGCAACTGATATCACTATAGCAAGAAATTTTACACTTTATAGGTACGAGTATAATACTCCAAAGACCACTACAATACTCAAAAGAAATAATTCTCTTTTGATATTCTCACCTCACTACAATATTGCTTATTCTCTATTTTTCTCACAGACTATTTTCTTATACCTTGTCTGTAAAACCTCACTCTTTCTTTCTCTCTTTGTTGGTGGGTAGAAATGAGCTTTTCCTTCTTTTTCTTCAATGTTGACAATTCAACGAAGTTATCTACCAAACCAAAGAAATTCAACAAAGTTGGCTATCAAACCAAAGAAATTCTCATCCAAATATTTTCCTTAGGCACATGCCTATTACTTTGGCTTTTGAATGAGATGGACCCCATTAGTTACTTCCATCAAAAGATCTTCTCGGCCTAATTGGTGACGGAGCGCCGTTTCCTAAATTGTGTGCCTGCAACAAAATATTTATCATATTAGCTACTCCAATAGTTATGATTTTTACTGTTTGTGTCACGATAAATCCATAAGCAAACCATATTGTATTGTGTCCAGATTTTAGGACGGCTGCAATTTAATACCATTGGTTCAGTTGCAGGAGCTTTCTCATAAGAACTAGACATTATCATTGATAAAGATGCACAAAACAAGTATTCTTCCAATTTGCACAACCAATAGCACCCAAAAAACAACAGCACGTCTTCTTGAGCAAGGACCACAGATTTCAAAATCCTACCAACCCCAAACCATTAGAGTAACAAATGCGAAACTTAGTTTTCTATTGTCTCATACTATCTCTCAACAATTCGACGAAAGAGGGGGAATCATGATTTTCAAAGCAACATCACACTTAAATCTATTATATAAAGAAAAAATAAGTACTTGTACCTGTGGAGGAGTTGGAAATAAATGAACAAACTCCTCAGGGTTATTCCCGATATTCATTCGATATAAGCTTGTTAGCGCACTTAATTGTGATCTCATATCCTGACATCTCTTGCTGCCATTGTAGAGGTAGAGCGCTAGCACTAGATGAATTCATACCGAAACTACCAACTCGCCTTGATGTTTGCTTGAATGCCATAGTTGGAACTACACCCAAGCCTAACCCTCGAACATGGCCAGGGTGCTCGGGACCAAAGACTACACCAAGCGCATCATTAGGTGAAGTTTCTGCAAGAGTTTCTGGTCTTTGACTTCGAATTTCTTCAATTTTCTCCTACACGAAAGACAAAAAATAATTATAAAAGGAGAATGTATATTAATCTCTAGCTACAAGAAATATGATCATCTCTCGTACCAGGATATATTTGTTCTCAAATGGACAAAAACCAAATAGAATTTTGTGCAAGAACAATCCTATTCCTGCCACTGTATTCTTTTTCTCTGAGCCAGGAAAACGAGCTACTAGTAGGAACTGCTTATTGATAAAAAAGAGTAAGAGAATGACTCTTCCTTTGCTATATCAGAGATAAAGAACAAGAAAAATAAAGTTATGACAATGGAGAAGCAAAATTAGCAAACAAATTTCCTTAACCATTTTTTCCCAGAACAGAGCATACAAAACCCAAAAAGAACCAATACAGCTGTATTTATGGTGCGTAAATGAATATTATTTATATCATAACTAATTATAGAATACCACGATATACTAAAGGCTGCATATTTGACCCCTGACAACTACAAATTTTCTACTACTACTGCTAAAGAACATTAACTTTAAAATATACTTCTAAACAGACATAAAGCTCAAGAGCTTAAAACAAACATTTTAACTAACAAACACCCGAACCAATTCAAATCTTTGGTAAGAAATATAGTCAACTAATACTTACCCCAATCTCCCTAGTCTCATCATTCACATATCTGCCATCTTTCCTCCTATGAGTCTCAGTCCACAATTTGCCTCGATCAATTTTATGTCACGACCCAAATTTTCCTCTGTAGGATGTCGTGATAGCACCTAGTCTCTAATACTAGGTAACCCTAACCTACTAGCAGAATTTAACTGAGAATTTATAAAAACCTTCAAATGACTCAACAACTATCATATAAAGAAACTCTGTAACTCAACAGAACACAACTCCCCCAAAATTTGGCGAATATAAGTCACAAGTTCTACAAGAAAGTACCGAACATCCCTGTACAACAGTGTCTATAAAATGGAAAGAAAATGAAATGGACTAGATAGAGGGTGACTACGAGGCCTGCGGACGCCGGCAGATGTACCTTGAAGTCTCCGAATCTGAACTCAACTCACAGGTGCCTGGACTGGTAAGAGGTACCTGGATCGGCACAAATAGATATGCAGAAGTGTAGCATGAGTACACCACAACGGTACCCAATAAGTGTCAAGTCTAACCTCGGTAGAGTAGTGATGAGGTCAGGTCAAGGCCCTACCGGAATAAATAAGAAAACTGAACAAGTATATGACAGTGTATTCAGAGGCGGATCCAGGATTTAGAGGTTCTGGGTGCCAAAAATTTTGAACGTAGTCATATTACAATTTACATTGTCTAATAGGATATAAATTTAATCGGTTTGGTCTATTTGGGTTTCGATTCGGATTATTCATCTTTGGAGTTAATATAAACAAATCGATCGAGCAAAAACATTACGTAATAATTATGATAACTTGGAAAAAAAACATAAAAATTCATTTGGCTTTTGAATGAGATGGACCCCATCAGTTACTTCCATCAAAAGATCTTCTCGGCCTAATTGGTGACGGAGAGCCGCTTCCTAAATTGTGTGCCACAACAAAATATTTATCAAATTAGCTACTCCAATAGTTATGATCTTCACTACATGTGTCATGATAAATCCATAAGCAAACCATATTTTATTGTGTTCAGATTTTAGGACGGCTGCAATTTAATACCATTGGTTTAGTTGCATGAGCTTTCTCATAAGAACTAGACATCATCATTGATAAAGATGCACAAAACAAGTATTCTGCCAATTTGCACAACCACTAGCACACAAAAAAAAAACAGCACGTCTGCTTGAGCAAGGACCACAGATTTTAGAATCCTACCAACCCCAAACCATTATAGTAACAAATGCCAAACTTAGTTTTCTATTGTCTCATACTATCTCTCATCTATTCGACGAAAGGGGGGAATCATGATTTTTAAAGCAACATCATACTTAAATCTATTATATAAAGAAAAAATAAGTACTTGTACCTTTGGAGGAGTTGGAAATAAATGTACAAACTCCTCAGGGATATTCCCGAAGTTCATTCGATTTAAGATTGTTAGCGCATTTAATTGTGAACTCATATCTGACACCTCTTGCTGCCACTGTGGAGGTAGCACTACTAAAAATCTGCTAAAAACCGACCAAATATTTCCGACCAACGTTGGCCGGTCAAAAAAAGCGACCAAAAACCATCCAGGTTGGACGGAAACTGGGAAAAAAAATTTATATTTTTTTAAAACTAAATAGCGACCAACGTTGGTCGGTAAATTGGTCAACGAATTGACCCAGCTGGTCAGACAAGAAAATTTTGGATTACCGACTAACGTTGGTCGGTAATCTGGATCCAATTTTTTAAATACTAATAATTATTTTATTATTTAAAATATTTAAGAATATTTAAGAATTTATATTTAAAATTACCGACCAACGTTGGTCAGTTAATGTAGGGGAAGTATTTACCGACCAACTTTGGTCGGTAATTGTTATTTTCTGCAAAATA